ATATATATAATATTCAGGCGGTCGTACATTTTTAGATGTATAAAGTTATTGATAAAATCCGAACGCTTTTTGTTTATCTTGATTTTGATGGAAAAAAAGTACTTACCTATCTCAAATAGAATTGATTAGCCTATTAATTTTTGTGTGGATGAAATAGGTTGGGTAGTCTGGTTTCAGAACAAAAATTATAGAGAAAAATAATGGCTGCCAAAGTTTAGTGACTTCCAGAGCTTGACAGGCTTTGGCAACTGCTAAATTTACTTTTTTTTTTGGTGCCTTTGATCAACGTTTTTCACTGAAGTCCACATAGAAACGTGCCAATAAAATGATATAACAGGTGTTGAGCAAGAAAAAAATGTCAATAAAAATTGCCGAACGGACAGAAAAAATGCGGGTTCTTCAATTTGATCTCACCACAAAGCCGTGAGTATTGTGTTGGTAGGTACACAGGCATTAGGTAAACTGTCCATTAAGGATAGTTTTAAGAAATATATTTTTTAAAAAATATTCTGACATTTACGATCCAGCAGTGTTAAAGTGTAGAGGAAACAAGTACCGGAGTTTTAAACATAACAACAGAACCGTAGGATGACACAAAAGCACAAGGCTTACATTACGGTCGACATGCACTCGAACAAATTAATAAAATGTGTTAGCATTTAATTAATTAAGCGTAATCTGACACCGAGCTCTGGAAAAGTATTATTTACAGCATGTAGATTCTCGATTTGCTCATTGCTATCCGCCATGACTAGTGCTGAATAATTCATGTTTGCAAAAGAAATGGAGGGGAGTGGAACGCAAAACAAGGTTTTATTAAAGGCGTCTTGTGTATGTTGAAGTACAGAGTTTTATTTTTGACGTGTGACTTACTTGTGAGAAGGCTTTAATTAAGAGAGCATGGTTTGACAAATATCGGCAAAGTTTTATGGATTTCCCCCCTTTTACGCATTTTCCCTATTCTAATTATGGATTTTTCAGCGCTCCCCATCTTGATACCAGTATTGCGTTTTTGTGTTCTTTTCTCGTATACACTTAAGTTTTAAAGCAAAGCACGCGAGTTTAAGATTTTGCTTTGTAAGTTAAAGTGATGGTTTACATGAACTAGAAATAATAATAACAGTATGCTTTATGACAAGAATTTGAAAATAAGTCTCCAACTTTCTTCAACAATAAGCAGTCTATTTTAAAAGGGTTTTGTTTACTCTAGTTACTTTACAGTAAACAATTGAAAGGATCTTCATTTGTCAAGTCGTGGAATATAATAATAATAAAATAATAACTGTACAGAAGCAACACAAAGACTGGCAATGGGAAAGTCAACGTTACAGAGATCAACGAGGACAGGAGCATGACAGTTGTAAATTGAAAGGGAAAGATTCTATTCTCTGTTGTCTCTGGAGTCTTTTGCTGTGAATGAGCCCGTAAAAAAGCTTACAGATAACAAAAGAATATTATTATTGATCTGTTTGTTGTGATAGAAGAAACAAAAAAGCAAACCTTGTAAACTGAGTTGTAATTTATTTTCGTGTGCCATTTGTACTTTTGAAGGTTTTGACAATATAAACACACACACATACACACACACACACACACACACACAGATACACACACACACACACACACACACACATACACACACACGCACACACATACACACACACACACACACACACACACTCCCACGTGTGCACATATCGTGTATCGCTTTA